GAAGTTTCCTCCATTCTCATTTAGTCACTTCGATGTCTTCATTGTTAAGATCATGATTTTTTTTCCAACATGTTCTTCTTTGGGAATTTGAGATTATAATCAGCAGAGTGAAAGTAGTTGCTTCTAAATCACATTTACAGAAGTACCTTGCCTTTCCTGAAACTTTTTCCCCTCTAAATAAAGAATCATGTGATTCTTCAGAAGCAAATATACCTACTACTCTGTTTCTTCTTCATTTTTCTGACAATATGGGGCTACTTCTTTGACATAGGTAGACCCCTCTTCCAAAATTCTTTTCATACAACTGAAATTTCTGAACCTTGTGGCCTTTGTTAACATTGTTTTATCTTTTACTTTTTGCATTACAACATACCTTTTTTATCTCTTTCTCCATAGAGCCACCTGTTTTGTGTTGCTTTGTTTTGTTTTGTTTTGTTTTGTTTTGTTTTGTTTTGTTTTGTTGTTTTGTTGTGAGAGGATCCTGGTCACAATCATAGTTCCATCTCTCATTATCTGGTACTTGAACTACTGAACTCCATGCTTGTCTTCCTGCCTCCATTTTTACTCTTTACCTAACTTTTTCTACATCTGCTGTCAAATGAATGCTCCAGCACTTCTCCTATACTTCCTTCTTTCTTTTCTTTCTTTCTTTCTTTTTCTTTCTTTCTTCTTTCTTTCTTTCTTTCTTTCTTTCTTCTTTCTTTCTTTCTTCTTTCTTTTTTCTTTCTTTTCTTTCTTCTTTCTTTCTTTCTTCTTTCTTTCTTTCTCTTTCTTCTTTCTTTCTTTCTTTCTTTCTTCTTTCTTTCTTTTCTTTTTTTCTTTCTTCTTTCTTTCTTTGTTCTTTTTCTTTCTCCTTTTTCTTTTTTCTTCCTTTTTTCCTCTCTTTTTCTTTCTTTCTCTTTTTAATTTATGTATTCGGCACATGGTCTCACTACACAGCTTGGACTTGTAGTGATCCTCCTGTTTTGAGCCTCCCCAGTGCTGGGATTACAGGCATGCACCACCACACCCAGATGCAGTTACTGACTCAGCGGGCAGGCAGTACCTGGTACCAGGGATGGAATCCTGGTCCCTGTGCTTGCCTAAGCAGGCACTTAGCCTGTTGAGCTATCTCACCAACTCCCAGACTTGTTTCTTATGATGTCTTCACAGAGATTTCTGCATTTTCCAGATAAACGTGCTTGCTATGAGCTAACGAGAACTTGCTTTGTGTGTCTTCTTATGTGCTGTTCTCCACTTTGGGGAAATTATTTACCACTGTTTTCTTTGTTCCCAAAATTTCTTGTTAATTTAAATCTCAAAGGCCCTACCTTTTTATCTACACGATGTGTTCAATATTACTTTTTGTACACTAGAATGTGCTTTAGGAATACCCCTTTCTTCCAGCATAGGATGTGTACACTATGATAATTTGTTTTTATTTTAAGCACTTATATTTTATGAACTGACAGTAGATACTCGGTAAATACCCATGATTCACTTTATTATGATCTAGAAAAGATCTAATTGAGGAAATAGCAGTGAACATTTGGAAAAAAAGTTTGGGTGGGTACAGGTGACTTTATGTTTTAATTTCATGGTAGTGGAACACTGAGTAATCTTGATACGTAGATTGTGGATGCTTTCAGTTCTTGAAGTAGGTCAGTTGGATATGAAAATAGTGAAGTGATAATTACTTTTTCATTGAACTATTCCATGCATTCATCAGAGAGCCCTAATTCTCAAAACTATGACTCTTTTTCAGACATTTTAGAAGAGAGATGAATGAATAATAGAGAAATTAGAGCCAGGCAATTCTCAATGTTACATTCTCTCTCACAAAAAGAGCAACAGCCATTGCAAGTACTCAAACTTAACTGCTCACTATGGAGCTATTTTCTCCTTAATCTTGTTTTATCAATTTATTACCTTAGTTTGTTAAATGAATGCAAGGGGTATCACAATTTATATATGCAAATTTTGGGACTTTTTCTTTGCTCATTAATTTTCCAGAAAACATTTTTTAAATGCAAATAATTTATTTAAAAGTGTTTGGACAGGATATCATGTCTGCATCTTGTACTGCGCATAACTACTACAAAGACAATATGCAATGTATTAATTATTGTAACTGTCCTACTATCCTGTTTTGAAACTGTCTCATTACTATTTGTCTCTCAATAAAATTAATAAAAAATATTTAAAATAAAATATAAAATACAAGAAATGTATTAAACCAGCAATTCTGTATTCTTGGAAACCCTTCAAACACTACATGAGTAAATGGCACCTCCATCCTTTTCTTGGAAGAATTTTCTCATTTGTCACATTTGCCTGTTAGAGAAGTAATCCTTAACACAGTACTCATTTCCGTCTTCTTTTGAATTATGGCATAAACTCTTTCATAAATGAACTGTTTCTACCTCTCATTATACCTTGGTTCCTGCTTTAAGCCCCTCAAATGTAATGATTCATCCTTAACCAGAACACCCACATTTCCCATAATGCTGCCTTGGGCTCACACCTTACCAAATGACTTAAAGTATATTTTTGTCATAGTTTTGAACATGAAAGCAAAATGGACTTGCATCTAATTCAACTGAGGCATAGAGAAAGCAAAAAGAAGCATTGTTTTTATTTCAAGAAGCATACAGCTACATTTCAGAGTATCTATGGATAGATTGGAGTTCATACATTATTAAATTTGCCAGATTTCATATTTTGTCAAAATGAACCCATGTACAAGTTGATCCATCTTCTTGCTCATCACTTGTTCTCAAGATAGTTTCCTTTTCCTTTGTAGTATTATGTTTTGATTGTGTGTATTTCTCATTCATGTCCTAATTTCTGATACTTTCAGAATACTTCACCTTAAGAAGTCCACCTTTAAAGGTATGCTTAAATAGAGTAGCACAATAAAAAATTTGTTATACTGGTGTCAGAACTAGTTATTTCAGGGTTTTTCTAGATTTCCAAAATCCATTTCCACGAAAAGTTGGAAAGAAAAGGATATTCACACTGTAGAAGCAACTGAAAGAATGTCTTGGGTTCTAGACTAAGTACTTATTATATGTCTATGGTCCATATGTTAAAATTATCAGATGAAAACGAAATTTTAAAATTGCCATCTTGAAATAAATTTTATAGATAGCACATGCACTAGTTCCTGAAAATGGTAGAAAAGATTTTTTTTGTCAAGTTCCTCAGCACAAGTGTGAATACTCTGTTTTTGAGTACCTACTACTAGTGAAAGGGCACATTGTGGCCAGCCAACTCAAATTGCTACCCACGTTTAATCATTGTAAATAAAGGAAGCAGAGAGACCCATGTTATATTTTCAGAACTGGCATGCTTAATACAGAGCTTTAGTTAAAATTACTATTAAACATTCTGTTTGAATTAATCTAAATTTCTGTGAAAAATAGTGAAAATTATAATTGGCCACTGAAACATGTACTACTCATTTCATGCAGATTATTAACCTAGTAATTCTATACACCAGAGTACATACAACTTTACAACACTTGGAATACAGTTCACCATGGGGGGATTTTCATTTTGAAATATCTATCATTTTTACAGGAGCAAAATCTTCTTTCTCTGTGGAAAAAATAACATCTATGAAACACCTACATATGTTGAACAGGACTTTTCAAATAACCAACTAATTGTCCCATTGTGAAATGAACATAGATCACAGCTAATTTGTCACATATTGTTGGTATATACTGCATTTTCTGAAGGGCTATATATAGAATAGGAACAAAGAAGCAAGTACTTTAAATAAGACTCATGAATCACAAAGAAGAAATAGTGGAAAGAGGTTGAGAGAAATAATTAAAGCATATTATCTACTTTTCTCTTATACATTTCAGTTCTACAATTACAAGAGTAGAGAGAATTCTTAATTTTTATACACTGTGTACAATCTGCCCTTGTTTATATGTGCCCCACAATCTTGATTTAGAAACCATTTGCAAGTTCCCAAATCAATCTTGATAAACAATTGATTCCCACAGGCGTGTAGGTGGAAAGCACACCAAATTTGATTCATTGGAAAGAATATAAAGTTTTAATCCACAATACGTACTAGAATAGGGGCACATTCCTTAGAGCAGAGATTTTTCTGGTATAGTTAAGTCACAGTCATTATTTGAGTGTGGAAAAATCTAGTCTGTCAAATATGTTCTTTGAATCACCAGGGAAAGATATATTACTACTGGAGCCTTGGACACATGGACAAGCATATACTGTATATGTACAGAATAGTGTATTTCACAATTACATTACATTGAAAATCCCTGCATTTGCTGTTCTATCACTAGCAAATGAATCACTTAGCACTTCATCAGGTGAGTACTGTTGTATTACTTCTTTTCAATTGCTGACATTTGCAGTCGGTATATATTTAAATCCAAACTTCAGTGATGCCGAAAAACAAGTGGAAAGATAACCACATCTGCATAGCCTATAGCAGGTCAAGTATCACTGGGAGAAGAAAAGATATCTGAATGTGAGTTAGTCAGAACACAATAAAATGTGCACTTCAAGATGTGTTTTCAAAGTTGTACAATTTTGCAATAAGCCAGAAAGCCTTAAGGCCGTTCAAAACTATTCTAAAAAAATCATAGCCTCTCTTTTTAGTTGCTTAAGAACTACACATTGATTACCTACATACCAGTTTGCCTACAAGAGATGCGCTTGCTTAACAACCTAAAAGCTTCTATTATTGATTTAGTCTGCAGAAATTGTCCATTATGGTGAAGAAGTTCTAAACATTTAAATCACATTTTTTTCCTCAATTGATCTTCTACAAACATCTTCTATTTGGAGTCCCTCAACATTTTTTCTTTATAATCTCCAACTCTTCAGTTATTCTATAGATTTTTTTCTTCTTTGTCACTTATCTTGTAGTTTGAATTTTCATATTCTGTTAAAGTCTTTAATTTTTCTCAATTAAAATATTATGTAAATAGAGAAATAGTCATAGATATGGGGGACATACTTCACCATGAAAGGTTGAAATCCATGTAGTATCATAAAACTTTTGCTAAAACAACACAATTTCAAATTTTTCCTCTGCAGGAAGAAATTAAAACTTTACATTGGTAAAAGGTGCCACATTACAAAAGCATGTCCTTCTGACCCTACTCATTATTTTGGAAATATAAACAAAAACATTTAAGTACAAAAGCAATTCCTGTGACTTTTAAAACGTTCTCAGTACTTCAGTGTTATTAAGTATACTTTTCGCTTGATTTAGCAGAAATTCTCTATGCTCACATAACTGTTCAAAGGTGTTCAATTTTTTTACTACCAAATGTCACTGGTAAAGCTAAGCTCTTTGGATGACAAAGGTAGCAGGGAACTATTCCGGGGAAATTCCTGATTATCTTTCATAGCATTAATAAGGGGTTGTTGTCCATTGAGTAGTGTCAGAGGCAAGTTACAGTAAGTGTGGTGGTTACCTAAGGAAGACAGTGGCAATATACTTGTTGGCATTTCATGTTTATAACCTCGGCAACAATGCCTCATTTGAATTGAATCTGAATGGTGGAAATCTGGGAGATCAGCTTGAGAGGGCACCAGAGTGGCAGAGGCACTGGTCATGGCAATTGAGGGTACAGGCTGGAGTTCTCCAAAAAGTCCTTGTTCTGCAGAGTCCAGAACATGACACCGAGATAGCATTTCTTTTTTCTTGATGGGCATTTCATATACTAAATGCTTCCAAAATTTAGAATTTAATTTGCTGCTTTTGGGTCCTTTCCACTTGATCCAAGACAGAAGTTTGATGCTACGCTTTAGTGATTCTACTTCCTGGCAATTCAGCTTTCCTTTCAATTCTGTACACTCAATCAAAATTACTTTGATTTCTCCACTGACTAGCATGTTATGAAGTTTGCTTTCCAGCTCAAATATACTCCATCCTCGTCTGAGAATATAGTCTGGAGTTAGCAGGATAATAAGTCTTCTGCTTTGCTCAACACATCTTGTGAGATCTTCAATGTATGCTATAAATCACAGAAAGAGAGAAAGAGTAAAACAAAGACATTGCCAGTCTTTATAGCATAAGGTTTGCACTGTAGTATAGCAAAGATTCAGTCTTTCATTAAAGTCTGTCCCATTTTTTTTTCTTGTATTGCACATTGAGAAAGTCATTTCAAAATTAAATTATAAAACAACTGTTTAATTTGTTATTTCATCTCCTCTTAGCATTACTTACAGTGTCCTCTTAACCAACACAAATTCTTGCTTTTTCAGAGCCTTGGTATATTTCAGCAATTATTTATTTAGTCACTTACTTCAAGGCAGGCTCCAAGGCTAACACTTTAAATGAACAAGCAATCAGGGAGTCAATGAAAAGATAACTGGATCATTCTAATAATTGTGAGGTTGCTGTACTGTTGGGTTTGGCTTGCTTTTCCTCCATCTTTTCTATCTTTACATTAATAACATCGATTTTAGTTGACAAATAATAATTATGGATTTTATTCTTATTATTGATTTCAATTGACAAATGGTAACTGTATATATAGCCTCTCATTTGTAACGACTAAACAATTAGGAAAGCTACGTGTACAAATCATATGTGATACAGAAATGGTGACAAATCTCTGCTGGAATAATAGGATGGTTTTCAGGTTATCTTCTCATTTGCAACTTTAGGCTGATTTGCCTTTCAAATTGAGAGATAGGGAAATAGCGTATACCCACGAGTTTAACTTGAGCCAGCTGCTTTCTGTACCCAAGAAAAGTGAAGTGTAGCATTGGAGATGGGGGATGGTATGGAATGGATGATGAAGGAGGAGACAGAGTTGAACAACTTAGAAGTAAGACTTTGCTCTGCATTGTGGAGCAATTCTGTAAGTGAAATAAATATGTTATGGCATTTTCATGGTAGAGAAACACTCAACTAACCCTAGGTTTGTTTATCCCATGGAATAATCCTCTTGCAATTATGATTCCCAAGTCTTAACTGCCAAAAGAGGAAATGTACACATGTGTTAACAAATGGAGACTTGGACACAGATGCTGCGCCAGAAAGCTATCTTTACTAAGCAGAATGCAAGGCCTTGTCTAATGTACAGTGCCCTCTAGCAAAAGCAGTGCTTACAGAAGCAAAGCCAACATTTCTTGCTGCAAATCTGCCCAGGGTTACAGACTGCTTTCAGGAAGTCACATTCAGGATACAGTGTCAGGACACCAAACAGTCTCATACAAACCATTAGAAAAGAGAAACTGTTTTACAGATGCATATTTTACAAATGATTTCTCTTTTCCAGGTTGTTATTTCTACCATTTGGCAGTAAAAAGGAAAACAACAACAACAACAACAAAAACTTTCACAAGTGAAAGTGAACAAACTTTCCACACACCCACCAGATAAACAAAACCATTTTAAAGTGATACACATAGAATTGCCCATTTAACAATTTGTCCTTTAGGCTGTTTTAGTTTTGACTTAATTTCATTGCAGGACTTTCTCATGTAGTAGTTTGAACAGCTGTATCTGAGGGGATAAGGCAGTTAGTTCCTTGGTCATGATGGAGCCCTGTTTTATTTCAGAAATTATATATTCAGGGAGGAATAATCAGAAATTCAATCTGAAGGGAAAAAAACAACACACAACAACAACAAAAAACACCACACAAGTAGCCACAGGGAAGTTTTTCTCTCTGTAATTATCATTTGGATAACTGGTGAAAGAGAACGGAAGGAAAAGTAGAAAGTTTCAATAGAGTAGAAGACTCTTCATTTTCTTCTTTTCTTTCTGCTCCCAAAAAGAAAGAAGTTATGTGGGAAGCTTCATCATTAGAAGTTGAATCTGTAAGATATAGTAAAATAAACTATCATGCATCTTTCACATTTTTTACCTCTTCTCCAAAACAAAACAAATCCCATGCTCAGAATCATGGCCTCAGTGCAGAAATCCATGAGAATACCATTTTACCAGGTGAATTATGGATGCTGTTAATTTTGGGGGAATAATCTTTACCAAATAATTTACCAACAGTTCACTTTGACTATTACTCTTCCTTTATTAATTGAAGAGTGTAATTTAATTTCAAAAAACAATGTTTCTGTACAAACCTTGTCTGGAGACACATAGAATATACTTCTCTGAACAATGCAATTTCTCTGTGTTGGCATGTAATCTGAATGCACTTTTTAAATATACTTTTAAAATAAAAGTGTATCTATACATGGCTATATCCGCTTAAAAATTACAACCAAAATATCTTTATTTATAACTTATACACATACATACCACTTACTATGATTGAACCATGGCAGAATTTGGCTCTGCTAACTTCTTTTTGGGATGGGGAAGGGAACACTGTAGTTTATATTTTTTTCTATTAGTATAGTTTTACTACTTCACCCATCTATTATATTTTGCCATTTGATAGCTAAGCAGAGTGCAAAATTTAGGTTTGTTGGAGCTTCTTAGAAACTTCTTAGGCAGAATTTACATTTGCCCTCAGAAGGAATGCCTGTCACAACAGATCCCATTATGCTCAGCTGCACAAGATGTGGGCATTGAAGGGAACCCTGGCGAGAGGGGTTGGTCTCTGTCTCCTGAATACTGCACTGGTTGTGCTTATCCTGGCAAAACCTAGTGGAGAGTTGAGGCAACCATCCAGATAATTCCGGCTGAAAACCTGCTATGGAAGAAAAAAATTTAAATTATCCTGGTTTGCCCTACATATACATTAATCATACGTACTGAAGTCAGTCAGTACATCAAAATTTTCCCTGGGTAGACACAGCCTACGGATCCCAAAGAAAACACAAGCAATTTGCTTAGGCCTTGAATCTTGTGCTCCATTTCACTTGGTGAAAAACCAAGTAGAAGTTTTCAGATGTAGAGCCCACATTTCACTTCTTGGGATGGTGATCAGTGGCTGGGCAACAATCTCAGGATTTGAAAGCAGCTGGGGGAGTTGCCTCTATGAGCCTGCTGGTTCTAAGGAAAAGGAGAGACTTTCCCAGCTTTCATATTCTGACTCCCCCCTCTGTTTTTCTCCGTGTCATTCATTCTCTGTCTTTTTCCCTCCCTCCTTTTATGTATTTGGGACAGCATCTCACTATGCAGCTCACACTTGTGGTGATCCTCCTGTTTTCAGCCTCCTAAGTGCTGGGATTACAGGCATGCACCACCATGTAGGGACTTGGTGGCCAGCTCAGCCCGTGTGGGGGCAGAACCCACATGGCATGTGGTGCCAGGGATCGAACTCCTGTCTCTTTGCTTGCCTAAGCAGGTACTTAGTCCGCTGAATTATCTCCCTGGCACTATTTTCCTTTTTTAATTTTTTTAAAAAAATCTTTTATTTATTTATTTATTTGGTACAGAATCTCGCTAGGCAGCTGGGACTCCTAGTGATTGATCCTCTTGTTTTCAGCCTTCCCAGCACTGTGATTACAGGAATGCACCATTACACCCGGTTTCAGTGGCCATGTTCAGTTTCAAGGCATGTGCAGGGTTCTGGGGTCTGCATAGCATGTGGTACTGGGAATGGAACTCAGATCCTTGTGCTTGCTTAGAGCGCTAAACTATCTCCCCAGCCCTTCCTATTCCTTTGTCTTCTTTTTTAAACTTCTTTTTCTTTTATCCCCACCTTTGCTATTTCTCTTGCTCTCTTTTGGCTTTCCCTTTTTTCCTCTCCTTTCTTCTCTCTCATCTCCTTTTTGCTTCCTCTCTCCTTTAAAGTCTTTCTTGTACTCATTTTTTTCTTTGAGAAAAAAAAAATAAATGGGGCCGGGGAGATAGCTCAGTAGAATAAGCGTTTCCCTGGCAAGTGGAAGGGCCTGAGTTCAATCCCCAGTTCCGAAAAACAAAGAAACAAACAATAATGTAGCTATCATGAAAAATATAAATAAATAAGATAGAAACAAAACTAGAGACATTTGTCTTTTTACTTGCTAATCTTTAGCCAGGGAATTGTTACTGGGGTACATGAATTAAGTACCCAAATTAATCCCCCTTACGTAGGGGTTTCATGTCTATTCCATGACTATGACTTGGAGCTTGATCCATTAAGGCCTGTGTATGTGCCCCTTGAGCTAAAATTTTAACCTTTTTCAAAGTTGTTTGAAAAATGTGACAAGAATATGATGCAAAAAGAAGAATATGATACAATAGAGATTATATGGATAACACAAACTTTAAAGTATTTACTATTTAGATCTTTACAAAAAAGGTTTGCTATCTTTGAATTAGAAACCAAGCAGGATGGTTATGCTTGGAAAAGTTCCAAATAAAGTAAGCAGAAACAAGTATCAAGTTAAGACATTGGTGGTTCATTGTATAGTCTCTGACAGGCAATGGGATTTACTCTGGTAAGGCTGTGGTTTTGTGGAAGATGTTTTAGAAACCTTCAGAAAATGTTCTCAAACGTTTGTTACCACAGAGAAATAATAAAGAAACGTTTTTTTTAAAAAAAAATCCCTAAATCCACATAGTGTATTCTATTCACTAAATCTTGCCTTCACTTGTTCAAATGTAGCAACTAAGTAGCAAGGAACCTTTAAAAGTCTTTTCTACATAAAAATACAATGTACTTCTCACATAAAGGTCAATAAGTCATTTCTTTGCAAATTTTGGTTTCAAGTAACTTTTGATGATAGGAAAGGCCAAGGGGCCTGTTTCTGATGAACTTCTTTTTCTCTAGATAAGTCTGTGAGACCACAGCAGAGTAGAGGACATGAAGCAAAGCCAATTATATTTAACCTGTGAATTTTCACAATCAGGTAAAGAAAAAAAAAACCATGTGTATGCTATTGATAAGAGTGATTAACTTGGCACAAATTATTCACACTGTAAGTGAAAAGTGTAAGGAAAACTTTCCTTTTTTTCTGTTTAAGGAGTTGGCCGAGAGTTAGAAACATATCTTGAAGAAACTGTGTTGTCAAGAACCCCTCTTTGGGATGTGAAGAAATGAGGAAAATTCATGCCAACAACATTAATATTGGTAGGAAACAATGAAATTAACAACTTGAAACACTAATA